TGTTAAGTCCATTTTGGACTAGAACTTCCTTAATGGATCCAAATGGACCCATAAGCTTCCAATTGGACTATCATGGCTTAGAATCCTAATTGGGCTCTAATTGGACCCACATTCATTTATTTCAATATTTTGGGCTAGGTAGAATCTAGAATGAAATAAATTAATGACTATGAACCATAATTAACCTAATTTGACCCTAACAAGTCACAAAAACCACATTTAAAGTGATTTGGACTAACAACCATCCAACTTAACATCTACATGGGCTTAGGACATTAAAGCCCAAATTTTTCTCCTTCCATTCCAAATCTCGGCCAAGGCCCAAAACAAGCCCAAGTGAAGAGTTGACTCCATCATGCCACCTCATTATTGCCCATAGGTTCTCCATGCAATTTCTCATTCATCCATGCAAGCATCACCTCAAGGTCTTTTCTTCTCTCTCTCTCCCTCTCCCTTCTTGTTTCGGCGAGAATAACCAACACACACACACACCTCACAAACTCTCTCTAAATTCTCTCAAGAAACTCTCTCCTTCCTCTCCAAAAATTTCGAGAATTCTAAGAGGATTTCAAGAGGATTTTGCAAGTTAAACATCATCTTAGGTAAGTTTTTACTTAATTCTATGATCTATCTTCCTTGATCTATCAAATACCTCTCCTTAATTCATGAGAAATCATGATCTTGCATCTTAGAAACACCTCAAGGCCGAGATCTTCATCAAGGGGTGCTAAGGCCGAAAATCACCAAACTCTCTTCTATTCTTTCTTCAAAAACCGAACCAACACCCAAGGTGAGTTTCATATCCCCTTATTTTCGGTTTTTATGAGTTTTTGTGGGGGAGAATACAAGAAAAAGTGTAGATCCATCATTATGTGTATGTTGTGGTTGATTTCTATGCTTACATGTATGTTTTGTATGATTTTATTGATAGATCTAGGGTGATATGCTAAAAACCGAAACATACATTTTATCATAGCATAAAATAGACTATCACATGCAAAGTATACTAAGAAAATGGCTACATAGCTTGACAACACTTAACTTGGACTAAAAACTTATTTTTTTGACATAAAATGTTGAAAATACAAAGTTAAAGGGCCTAAAGTGCAATATCTCGAAATCTGATGGGTGAGATGAGTCAAAACAGTTTACACAAAGTATTTCTGAAAATATACTAATTAGAGGGTTAAAACATAAATTCCAAGCTTATTGGGCTAAGTATGACATTTTCGGCCCAATAAGGCCCAATATGCGAAATTTTCTAAATTGGAGGGCCAAAACGGCATTTTTCTGTAAAATATTGGACTATAAGTGTTCCATGTGCTTTTAAGGGTTTGCAATGCTTTTCAATTTAAAGGGGACCAAAATTGTAAAATTTTTCCAAATTGGGTCAAAAATGTA